TTGCACAAACATTAGCGTGCAACTGCGATATGGCGAAAGTGGTTAACTTTGCGAATAACCAGCGAAGGAGGGAGAGAGAGAGAGTTTCATTAAATGTAAATTTATTTTAACAACCTGGAGTAATAGTGTTTGTTCTGTATAAATTAATTTAATCACCACAGACATGGATTGATGGCTCTAATGCGACAGAATAGATTGCTTTAGTTTTTGAATATGCAGAAGTGCAAGTTTTCCCCCTGAAAAAGAACTTACAACACACACAATTACAGCGGGAGTTGGTTGATGTGAACTGAGAGCTTCTTCTTCTCACCATTCGATTATAATTTTCATATCTTGTGAAAATGCTGCGCGCCTCGGAAGTGTGGTAATGTTTAAGTCAAGGGAGAGATAATGTGCCTCAAATCTGTACAACACTTCCTAAGACACTTCCACAATTCCTCTGCACAATCTTCAACACTTCTAAACGTATTTCAAGTCATTTTTTACACTTCTTCAACTGTTTTCTACACGCAATTCTGACTTAATCACAAATCTAATCCAGATTTTTCCATCTAAAGACGTTTAAGTTCTTCAAATGCTTAGATTTTTGATAGTAAAAATTGATTTTAATGTTCCTTGATTGGTTTATAACAAATTTTTGTATTGATTTTCTACTTTAGAATTTTAGAAAATGGTTAAAACTAATTTTTGAATGAATTTTGAGGTTATGACTAAGCCTTAAAAATCCTTCTTCACCTAATTTGAAACCTTTTTACACCAGAAAATTAGTGAATATTGCGAATAACACAATATTTCTTCAAAATAATTACGTTAAATTTGCCAATTTAAGCACAAACCGCGGAAAAAACTAAGCAAAAAGATAATTTTCTAGATTGAAATACCAATTTTCAGGTTATGATTGACTTTTAGGCTTTTTCTTACTTAATGTGAAGTTATTTTAACCAGTAAAAACTCAACTTTCCCGAGAAAAATATAAATAATCACAGATTAAACACAATTTTAAGGATTTAGAGGATTTTTTAATCACCTGGAATTTGTCTTTAATCAATCACATAACCTAGAAAAAGCAATAAAATTGATTTTTCTGAGCAGAAATATGTAGAAAATGTCTCAATTTGTTGAAATTGATGCTTTTTCAGAGTAAATATTGGATATATTTTCCCAATTTCTACCCTCAAACACTTCCATGAAGTTGTACACTACTTCCAACCCTATAATATCTGTCCCTTGGTTTAAGTATACGCGAGATGGCAAAAATACATGCGCTACATAGGGATTATTAATTTTGGAAGCCTTTCTTAAGTTTTCACGTTAATGAAGCTATTCATTTAGGGACTTGAAATTTCTCTCTCATCATGAGAAGAATACTAATTCTTTTCTCCACAGGCAAATGTTTGAAATTCCGCCCCAATGTAAATTTACGCTTTCGTCCATATCATAATCATTACATTCCCGCGTCTCATTTTTCCTGCTCGGCCTTCCCCTTCCTCCCCCCTCCCAAGGGGGAGATAATATGGCAAAACAGTGTACGCCACTTCCTGACACTTCTACAGATATTTTCAGAACTTCAGCGGTGCTTAAAACATGCGTTTTCCTTATTTTCTTCTCCGCTTTCGGAACTTCATAGAATTTTCTAACCACCTTAAGCATCCTAACCTCAAATTAGGATCGTATTTCTTTCCGAAAGACTCCATTTTCACCTTGTTTGACCATGAAAATCTCACATATAAACAATATTTAGGAAATATATTAAGTTTCCAGCGAGTATTTTGATGTGTTCAAATTTTTAATCGCTCTTTTGGATGTATTTTTGATCATAACCTAAAAATTAACATGAGATATTAGAGAGAATCTTTAAAAGAAAACTTAATTGGAATCTGTTAAAGGCAAGTGTAATCGACAAATAACTGAAAATTGATATTAAGGAGTAGAAAATCAGTCAAATATCCCTTAAAATAGACAATTTTGTATTCCGAAACAACAATTTAGAGGTTATGATCAATCTTAGCGCAATTAACACAGTTTAATATTTGATTGCAAATGCTTCAACTTCTTAACACTTCTCGTTGAACTGTACACCACTTCTGACCATAATATCTCCCCCTTGCTGCCCCCTCAGCCTATGTATATACATTTGCCCAGCACAAGTGGATATAAATGGTTTATTTTATATGCCGATAAAATTCATTGCTTTAAATTATTCATCACTCGCGTGAGCGCGAAGCACAGAGTAAATTTCCAGGATAATTTTTACTTTTTTAAAGTAAAGTTTTTTTTTTCTCCCAACAATATTTGCCTGTGCTGGCATTCATGATACGCTCGCGATTTGTGTGGAAAATGATGCAAAATATGTGGGTGAAATGTATTTTCATGGGTATTTGAATGGCGGCGCGCAGTGGAGGTATTTTGGGCTCCAATGTGTGTGCAGAGCATTAAAGCATCAAAGTAGTTAATGCTATTCAGTGAATTTGACGGATGCAAATTCATCCATCAAATGCAATGTGTGCTATTTCCACTGATGCAGTCAAAGAGAATGTCAAAAGTAGCTTCGCACACTTACAATTCCGTGGCCTGCAGTGCAAAAGTGATTTGCTGAAGCGAAATGCAATTTAATATTAACATGCATATCAATAAATGTTTGCACAGTCTCAAACTCAAACCCTAATTCCCCCAGCATAAATCCACAGGATTATTTTCATTTCATTCTCAAACATCTGATTCGCTGGATTCTGATACAAACATTCCACTCTTTCGAGGGGATGAGAGAGCTTCTCCTCACAATTGACATGCATGTCTGCGTAACATTTGCCTTGTTTAACACAATATTGAGAGGGTTGTGCTTCCCAAGTCCATCCTTCACCATGAAAATATTTTCCCATGGAGATTCTCCTGCTCTTCCGCCAAAGGGGTTGCCAATATAGCTTTTGAGTGCCAAACGGAAAATATGCAAAATGAGGAAGAAATAATACGTTTAAAAGGTCAGAAAGTCTTTTCGACAGAAGATTCAAATCATTTTTTGATCATCCCCGGAATATTTGATCAAATTTCGAATATTTCATACAAATTTCAATCATTATTTTATTCAAAATTTTAATATTTCATTCAAATTTCAATAATTTTTTGATTATTTCCTGAATATTTAATCAAATTTTTAATATTTCATACAAATTTCAGTCATTATTTTATTCAAAATTTTAATATTTCATTCAAATTTCAATAATTTTTTGATTATTTCCTGAATATTTAATCAAATTTTGAATATTTTATATAAATTTCGATCGTTTTTAAATTATGTTCTAAATATTTAATCAAAATTTGATTATTTTATTCAAAAATTTTCAATCGTTTTATGATTTTTCGTATTTTTTATTCAAATTTTGATTATTTCATACAAATGTCAGTCATTTTTTGATTACTTTGCAATTTTACTTGGGAAAATACTCATTTTTTGATTATTCAATTCAATTATTTGATTGAGAACATTAAGTTTCCTCAAAAATCGCTTTGTGACTTGCCGCTTGGAAATAGATTTTAGAGCGTTTAGAGAATATTTTGGACCAGTTTTGAGATCATTTATAAGAACGTTAAAAAGAATTTTGAACAGGAAATACATTCTTAGCTCATTTCAGGGCAAATCTGTGTCAAATACAAAAATCAGGACGACATTTTGTATTTAAAAAGTGTATTAAAAGATTAACATATTTTTGTCATCATTTTTAAAGATTCTTGTATGTATAAAAACGTAAAACCCTGCGTAAAACCATAAATATTCGATTAATGATTAAGTATTTGAGCAATGTTGTCTATTTATTGGTGTTTGTAAGCTTTTCAGCTAAGAAAATCGCTTTTCCGACTTTTAAAATTGTGAACAATTATTTTATAATTAAATTTTAAAGAGAAAATAAGATAAAACATCAGTTTCGTTATCAGGAACAACTGGGAAATCGCTGAATTCCACGATCGCGATGCACAAGTCGAGCCAAGTGACACTTCATCCCCAATATTAGCAACCCCTTGTCTTCCACACACACACACAGGCAGCAAAACATGCATCCATAAGTATCAACGTGGTTACGTTAATATGGACAGATGGGATTTAAGTTACGTCCTCCGAAATAAATGAATTATTATGGCAGTGAGGCGCACAAGGCAAAAAGTCGAGGGGAAAAAGGCGAAACCTCAATTTATAATGATTTGTGACATGGCAGTGATGGACCCAAAAATGGAATTAGAATGAAATCTCTTGGTATTCACAACTGTAAGCACTTCTGAAATCCCCTCAAAGCTTCCACCGTGGGCGAGTGAGTCGATCAATATACCGAAATAATATTGAATTTTGTACCCAAGAAGAAATTTGGGGATTAAGTGAATTAATTTGTGAGAATGTTTCAAGTGATTGAAAGGGAGACGTTGAGGCGAACTTCATTGAATTTAATGTTTTTCGTCAAAATACCCGCAGATGATTTTGTATTTTGCTCTTTTACACCAACGTCAATTCAAGCTTGAAACGTTGACTTTTTGGACTGTTTGAAGAGCTTTTTGATAGTATATATACTATTATTATGTATCGTTAATTAGATCAAAGAGGGAAGTTGGAAGAGTCAGTACTTTAATTGTATGACAATGTGCGTATTAAATAAAGGAGAAATTGGGAGATCTTTCTAACAGAATTCAACCCTTTTCTTCACAATTCGTCTTTGTTCTGCTGCACACTTAGACAAGAGCACTCAAAATATGCATTCCACAGTCTTATCACTGGACTTGACCCATGATTTACGATGTATTTTACATAATCTCGCACACCTGTGAGCTTATAGAATCTTTATCAAGCACCTGTGAAGCCTATGGTGTGAGATTGGGCTCTCAAAGATACGCGGTTTGGTCACTTCTTTCTCCTCTCGTGACACGCGCGCTATAAAAAGACGGTGAACATTGGGGAAGTAAGTCATTTTTCGCTCACCTTTTGATCGCTAAGAAGCTATAGAAATTTCTGTGTCACAATGTTTCGCTTCCTCTTCCTTGCCAGTGCTTTAATTCCCGCCATCCTGGCCACTGAAGGTCTGCAGACATGCAACAGAGGTCCTTCGGTGAGGCCAGACAGCGTGAACGTCATCGGCTGTGATCAGACGCCTTGTGTGATCATTCTGGGCGAAAGTGCGCGGATGGAGATGGTTTTCACAGCTCGTGAGTGTCTTAATAATTCCTCGCCACGCCGTGATGCTTAAGTTTTCCTTCCCTCTCGCCAGCGACCACAATTCAGGACCTTCGACCCTCAGCGACGGCGTTCATGGGCATTCTGCCCGTTCCATATCCGCTGCCCCCGGAAATCCAGCGCGGCTGTGATCACCTCGCCAACGCCACCTGTCCGATCCCGGCCGGAACGACAGTGAAGTACAACTTCGAACTCCCCGTGAGCGAGGATTATCCGCCGACGCCCAATTTGCCCGTGGAAATCACGCTGCAGGACGGAACGACGGGATTCCAGTGCATTCGAGTCACAATCAGAGCAACGCGCGGATAGAAACGGCCGTCTTATCACTGAATCACCCACTCAACCTCCTCCGCGACGCTTCCTTATCACTTTACGACCTCCCACAATAAATTTTGTTTTATACGCACTCAATCACAGTGATATTCTTGCTGGCATTTTTCCCATTAATTTCCTCTGATTAGACATCAACTTGAGCCTATTTTCTATCTATTCAGTGTATTTTTCATCAATTGTTTACGGGTCGTTGCAACATTACAGATTTTAGTTCGCAAAAGTTATGAATTCGTGTTGCAACTTTGCGCTTAATTGGAAGTTTATTGAATACATATTTCAGCTGCTGCAAAATGCAAGATTTACTCTGTAAGTGTGTTTTTAAAGTAGAATATTCCAACTTTCACCAAGTTTCTTGTCCTTTTCCTCCACGTTAGCAGCGTTGACGTAAGGAAATGCTGAGAGTAAGTGAAGCGCATTATTTTTTGTGTTCTGCCCACACTAATTCCAAGGAACTTTCAGGAGTTGTTGGCGATTACTAAGGGATGTTTTCCCAGTGACAAGACATCTGTTTCCTTGGAAAGGATCGGAGGATGTCTAGAAACACATAACCTTAATCTGGAGCATTGAAAAGGGTGCAATTTCCCAGATGAATTCAATCAATCCAAAGGAATGAAATAAATGAATTGGTTTCGTAAGCGTTATGAATTCATAACTTTGACAGCTTATTTAGAATGGTATGAAGTTAAAGTTGCAACGACCAGTTTGCTCAGAAATCTCTGGGAGCGTGAGTAATTAATTAATATCCTCATCTTGAGAGGGGAAGCGGAAAGGGTGGAGATATTTGGGGTGGCAGCCAGAACCTGTATGCAAAATACGGGCGAGCGGTGATGCGAAATTGAGAATCCTGCACAGCCTTTTCTGGGGATTTAAGTGCCCCCTCGTGCATGTGGTGTAATTTAAAGAAAGTGCCTCGACAGAGCGCTGAGGGTGATGTCGTGTCCATTATGGCCCAGGGTTCGCTTGATTTCGGGACTGCGGTGACCCCAAATGACCCATCTAGGCATTCCGATACAGAGTGCTAAAATACATTTGCCCAATGATATGTCGCCCAGAAAGCGCAATAAAGGGGTCTCCTAAGCGACACTCAACATGGGCTACGAGGGGTAAGTGTACACGTTATATTAATAAAACTCATTTTATTTCCGCAAAATGTTTAAAAGCAGAAACATGTACAGCTTCACCTGCACCCAGTGTAGCGACGATTGCCAGCACACGGCAACTCCATCACCCGAGATTTCGGCGAAGGATTCCCCAGGAATTCTCACGAGTCCCCGGCGGAGCGCTGACAGCGCCACCGTGCCGCCCGACGGTGGGTGGCGCAGCGAGTCACACAGTCATAAAATTATTTAAGAGCAATGTGCGTTGACAAATGTCTTAAGTATGTGAATACTACTATTCAGCAAGCTGCCGGATTCTGTGGAATATTTTTATGTGGTGAACTTCAAATGAAGACAGCTCGTCGCTCAGGATAGATTTACACAACGTGACTCGCGAAATTGGCGCCAACCGCAGAGTTTCCAGCATTCAGCATGTGTCGCAAGCACATTAATTGAAATGAATCTCTCCGTGGATGATACGGAATGTTGGGGGGGGCGGAATGTGTGAAATAAATGAATTTCCCCAACTCCGTCGTCGTTGCCTTTGAAATGATTCGACAATTACATGAGACGTTTTACGACCGATGAAATGGGTAATTCACAGTCGCAAAGGTAAGTCTGCTTGAGGAATTTCCACCATCTGATCAAACGGAGTGGATTTGAATACACCGACAAAATCGATGCTCGGCCAAGAATCTCACGGAAATTCTCTGGAATAATGAAAAAATAACAAATTGTCCGAAAATCCAAGGAGGAGATAAAGATGCCTTAAACACTTCTACATTTGCCGGACACTTCTAGAATTTGAAATTTGTAGTCTGTTTCCACAACAATTCAAGTCGTTAAGACCGATATTCTGTGGCGTCACGCGTCTTAATCTTAAGACCAAGCTCGTACGCATCGACAACATTTATCATAGAAAAGAAATGAATTCTCAAATGATAATGATTCTCTTAAGTTTCTATCTGATATTTCAGCAAAAATCGATTTAAAACCGCTGTTTTTGGACACTTTTCCCGACCATAACCTTAAAATATTACTAAGAGATCTTGAAAAATTCCTTTTGAAAGCTTTTCAGATCACAAAATTCCTTCAAAATTGCTGTTTTACTGTCAGAATAGCGCAGAAAGTTTTTGTAAAGAAACATATTCCAAGCATAAATGATTATTTTTGAGGTTATGTTCTACTTCGATACAATTTACAGTGTTTTCTGACATGAAAGGATCAGAAAAGCAATGTTTATTGTATGAAAATGTCTAATTGATGTGCTATAATGCGAATTATTCACGTAATTTGTTTTAGATTCGTCACATAACCTAAAAAAAAAGAATTTTTGTGATTGTTTCCAGCACAAAAATGAAGAGAAATCCAGGAAAGGAAAACTGCAAGTTTTTAATCACTACGATACGACTGACTGACTCGCACGTTTCTCTGCGTCAAATAATGCGAACAGCGAGAATCTCATCAGAGGGAGAAGGCCGCCAAGACAGTGGCATTCTTGCCGCAAGCTCTCCAGGGATACTAATTGGACTGGGCTTGGTGTTTTGCCGGTTGTTATTGGGAATTCGACTTACACTATATTATCTCCCCCTTGAGAAAATCTCCGCCTGTCTTTGTGCCACAAGTAATGGACACGAAACAAGACATTTTTCCTCTGCCAAAGGAACTAATAACGCGATGATGGCGAACATGGGAGAGAGAAAGACTGCGCGCTCGCATGGTTAAGTATTGTCGACGAAAATGTAACTATGGCATCCCCTAAAAACAGCCGTTTATTTTAATTGCCTCTCAAAGCTGCATTATGCACATTAATGGGAAACAAGATCGTTAGCACTTTACTTGACAAAACAACTCGAGTTACAATTGCAGTGTGAATTGAACCATGTTCTATTTAAATGGGAAAATGGTAATTTTGATAAGGAGCACAAAAGCAACAGCTATTAAAATGGAGCAGTGTGTGTGTGAGTGTGTGTGTTTGTATTAGTTTCGGGAGTGAAATTGATGGAAAACTGCTTGATGGGAAACTACCCAGTGCTTCAGTTCTCATTTCCCCAGCACAACTTTCTCAAATTCCCCCGAAACAGTGTGGCAATAATACTTCCCAGCGTCATTCAGCATTATACTTAAAGACACCTTTTTTTTCCTCCCCTGTGGAATTGCTGTAGCATTTTTTTTTTGGCCGCGTTCAAACAGCTAAAATATTGATTTGTTTTCCTTTTTCTTCTTCTACGGCACAGCGAACTCAATCTTTGAGTGGCTGAATGAAGCTTCTGTGCGCTGTGACACTTGACTCACTTGACTCTCTAAATAAAATACATACAGTGAGGTATTTTTCGCAACAATTCATTTCCACCCTTTGAGAGTGCCTTTTGTTCAGCGCAGTTTGTGTTGTTACGTGTCAAAGCGGAGACCATGCTGGGTAGCTTTCATCCTCGCTTCGTCCTTTGACCCAAAAGAGAGCCTGGTGTGGAAAGATTGTGAACTCAGAGAATGGAGTTCAATTTCGCTCTTTTTAAACTTCACCAAAGCAATATCCTTCTTAATATGCGCTGTACAAGTGTCAAAAGGGATTAAATAATTAATTTTATACGCTGTTTTTCCCCTACAATAACACTAATCACGCAGAAAAAAAGGGATTAAAACTAGCAAAATTGATGTAAATTAGTAAAACATCCATATTTATGCATAATGGAAAGCTTCTGGATAAAACCCTGTTCCTAAATTAACATTTTTAATAATTAATTATTATTCTTTGCGCAAAATATATGACTATAAATGTACATAAGCAGAGATCCAATGATGGATGGACTGAAGGGGAATTGAGTGGCCTGAAGACAACCTTGAGTAAAAGTTGTTCTGCGTTTACTCCAATACACATTCAGAGACTTCAATCGACAATGGATGCATTGAGAGGGTGAAGAAGCCGAACGGAAGGGGATGAATATGGGGGTAAATGTGATAATTGGCATTATAATAAAATGCCATGCGAACGAACCCATCATCGGGGGAAACATAATTTAGTCAATATGTTTGTCAGCTCTCTCTCTCTTCTCGAGGGTGTGAAAATTGTTGGGGAAGAAGTTTTGCTCCAAAAGGTGTTGAACAGTTTCCACCCCCGAAAGACAGAGATGTTGTGCCAAAATTTACTCCATTCCTAAACATCTCAAGTGTCACATTCAGCAAACATTTAAAAGTTGTTCGATAGTGAGTTCTGTGTCAACCGTTCAAAGTACAAACACAGTCTTTTGCCTTTCCTCCGCAGAGTCGTCTTGTGAACTGGGGGAGTGTGTGGACGAGAGGGTGCGCTTCGCAGGGTGGATGGTTTACGACTGGAGACTGCCAGTGCGACACCGTGACCTATTCCGAAGGCCTCACATGGGGAAGAACTCACCCACATCTGAGAAAGTGCGCAAATATCAGGGGAAAGTCATCGTAATGCCGCATGCGCTGTTGCCGATAAATGGCGCACCCAAAGCACTCAAGAGAGCTTCGGCCTCTTCCCCAGCTTTTCTGTAATTTCCACATGCCAATGTGTGTATTTGTGTGCGAAAGCTCTGAGCTCGGGCGAAGCTCTGCGCCCGCTTCGTTTGTGATTGTGCCATCAGAACACCGTTCGCTCTTATCACGAACTTGAGCTTTCGATTGATACAATTTTTCAAGTCATCCCCAGGAAGCACAGTGGAGAATATTGAAATATTTCCCGTGCCAAAATTGATTTTTCCAAACTCACAAATGTCTCACTTTTGCAACACTTCTTCACATTTCAAAAGTTTCACATTTCAAGGTTGCGCCGAAAGGCTTTCTTCAGGTGGAAAATAGCGGCGTTTTATTTCTCTGTGGCAAGACGAATACATTATAAACGTGTAAAACAATGTAGAG